TCAGCAGGACATATCTTTGAAAGTGTACGTAATGGTGCTGAATGTAGTTAGTTGCCAGTTAGGTAGAAAGATGAAGCAGTGGTTATTTTTGACAGCAGTGCGATTAGTCTTTAAGGGGTTGTCAGTGAGCAAGGAGCAATGGGCCATCTCTTTAAAACTTGCTGTGAGGTAGGGATAAGACTTGTTCTTGTATTTGTGTTGTATTTCTTCATGATACAAATGAAGGAATTTTCAGATTTCCACAGGAATATCTGGAATAAGTCTGGACCTCAAAGGAAGAAATGGAAGTATCTGCTCTTAGTTGAACTGCAGGGGAAGCTTTAGATATGCAGTGGGCAATTACATTGATTCAGATTTTCCCAGGGCACCAGACCTAACTTATGTTTTCTCAATGTTGCCTCATGAAATGCTTTTTATTAATCTCTTTAAAAAAAAAATCCTTTCATTAAAGAATGCAGGTGATATCCTTGCTGTATGGATTGGTAGGCTCCATCAGACTTCTGTTAAACACAAGCACCTGAACATGTGCTGTTCTGAAGGACAGCTTTAGCAACTTGTACAAGAATCGTGGCTGAGACCCTGATTAAGTTTATGCTGGAGAGGTGTATTTCCTACTACCAGTATTACTGACTTACTTTAGTTTATATTGTTAGTACCTGTTCTTTGACTTTCAAGAAAAAACTGAAGGTCTCATGCTGAAGAGCACAGAACTATCCCTCTGATCTTTGGGTCTAATTCCTTTAAACCTTTAAGTGGTTGCAGTCTACAGAATTTGTGTAAATTAACTAGCACTGAAACTCTTAAGGAGAAGAGAGATTGTGGTTCCCAAACCAGGGTGTTGCAGAATGTTCTTGAAAACTCATATGCCTGTCTTTACTCTGCTTGTGTGAACTATTAAAGATCTAATTTCTCAGATTTTTTTCTTATTTTAGATGGTGAAAGGTAATGATTTCACCACTTCAGTCTCCCATTGTTTTACTTTAGGTTTGCTTGATGTTTTCTGGTTTCCTGGGGTGGGACTTGAACGATGAGTTCATCTGAGGCTTTGGCAATTATTTAACTTTTTCTGTACAGGTCATTACAAAGGAAGGTCAACTTTTGCCTTCTCTTTTTCTAATGTTTTTACTATTTGACAAAAGTAAATTGGTTTCTTAGTTGTATGGTTTGTTTTTTTCTTATACAGTCCCATTTCAACAAGTACTATAAGAAGACAATCTGAAATAATAGATGTATGTATGTTTTGAAACTCCAATATGAATGTGTTTCTAAGCTGCATAAGTGAAAGATATTTTTGGATAACTAATTGTAGGACTAAGAAAAACCAAAAGACATGCATGATTTGCAGGTAGTTACATTCATTTGCTTTATTTTTATCTTCTCTAGACAAGTTCTGTGATATTTAATTTTCTCCACAAGATGGCAATAGAAAGCTGTTGTAGTAGAATATAGATGAGTGCAGTAATAGTATTAGATTTGAATCTGGCAGGTTAATTACTAACTTGTATTTGCGCAGTATATCTAAGAATACTTATATATTTTCTTGCATTCCAGAATGACCTAAAGCCTACAGAAGCAAAGAAGAAAATCCAGCATGTTACATGGCCATGAAGTAGCTAATGGTGCTTGAAACAGAAATATTACTTCCATATTTTCAAACAGATAAGTCATATTTAAACAGTTTAAGTATGATTCTTTTTAAACCTTACAGCGATTCAGATTGCTGTAAAGTTTTAACAATTTTAAAAGGTCCCTATTGTAAAGCTGGAGTCATTATCACCGGTCACCTTAAGAGTGTATACTCTTGTACACCAAGTAGCTCATTACTTCTTTAAAAGGTGGTAGTATTAAAATGTACTAAACCCCCCACTTTTAGTTTTCAAGATTATTATAGTTCATCTCCTGCATGTCACTACAGTTCACATATATAAATATTTTTTTAGTTTGTTTCGGTAAGATTCAGTTTTGTTCCACTTCTGGTTAAATAGTTAAAATAGCTATTGAGATTCAGAGTGATCCCAAGAGCCTTCTTGGCTTGGAAAAGATAATTCATTTAGATGAGAAAACTGACCATTCTGCTGATAAGATAGTCTGACACAATTTATTTTTCCTTTTTGTTGCACAGAACAGGAGTGTAGGATGTGCAAGTTAGGTTGGTAATAAGAGATGAACTATTTTAACAGCATTACTTCAAATTGAAGTTTCTCTTATTGACGTATGAAATAAGAAATGCACAGATGGAAGTATGTTATTACACTGTTTGATATGAATCTTTGAGAGGAAGTAGTGAGTGGATTAGTGCCATGTTCTCTTAAATACACAGGCATATTTTATACATGCGTAAGTGTAAAAATGTGCCGATGTAGCAAATCTGCTTGTTTTTCTGGTTACAATCATGCTTATAAAATATGGGGAAAACCTGTGGAATGCAGGCCAGTGCTTTCTCAAGTTACTAACAGTCAGAGAGAGACAGGGATAGGAGGACAAACTAATACCTTGAGAGCATTAACATAGGTAGTTGCACTCTAAAAAACCCAAAAACCCAAACAAAAAAAACCCCACCCAACCCCCAAGCAAAAAGCCAACCTGTTTTCCCTTCCTTTGATAATTTAAGATGGGTGTTGGTTTTCTGTGAGATGTGGCATTTCATCTGGATTGTTGGTAGTGCCTTAAAAGGCAGAAATCCAGTTCAGTTGATGAAAACATTTTTATTAAATCTCAGTGGCTTGAGGTGAAGCCAATTTAGATCCACTTTAGATATGGATGGTAAATAATAATAATGCTCTCAAACTTAGTAAAACAAAAAAAGAATCGACTTCTGAATCCACTTAGTTAACCCACTAAAAGAAGCTGTCAGTAGTGATCTGAAAGCTTGTTTACATTTTTAACATCAGTTAATATTGAAACCAAAACCTGTAGCTTACTTCATTACTGACAGAAGTTCTCCATTCACTGTTACAACATAAAAGGCACTTCTCGAATGCTCTAAAATGGTAAGAATGTGTGTTTTGAAATATTGTGTGCTGTTTCCCTTTTACTAAACACTTGTGCAGTTTTTGTACTTGAGTACAGCAAACTTTAACGTAATGTACATTTTGTACGTCAAGAGTTGTCTTTTAAGTAGCCTTATCCTATTTAAATAAATTCAGTTAAAAGCAAACAAAGTAGTACTGACTTGTTTTTGTGGTGGTATTAAGTTTGTTCATTTTATACAGTTATATTTCAGTGGTCTTGAAGTGATCAGAACTTTAAAAAAGCTTACGGGGCAAAAGACTCAGTAGCTACTTTGGATTTTCAGCAGCAGTTGGTATCATGTGAAGTGCTGGTCCTTGCACCAACGTACCAGTCTGGTAGGAGTTCTGTTTCGTGGGTGGCTGCTTGGCAGGGGTTTAGAGCCTGGGCTCTATTTTGTTGTAGTTTCAGTTGCTAGGAGCGCGTGTGTGTTGGTGTGTGTTAAGGAGCGATATGCAGAACTGTACTGGAATAATAGTGTGGTGCTGCTATTGCATGGTAACAGCCTTGTTTGCAGGCCAACATGCTTTCCAGCCTTGTTATGTTTCATCTACCTTTCCCCAAAGCTGGGACCGTTTTGCCATCTGTTGTAGCGCTTGGGGGGCAAGGTGCAAGCCATGCTGCTCTTACAACCTTACACTACCCCTTTAGCTTATAGTAATCCTTCTTCTCTCAGCAAAGTATTAGAGCAGAGCTGCAGTGTGCTGGGGGGTTGCCAGGCGCCAGAGGAGAGAGTAAGAGAGGTGCTGGCACTCCTTTGGGAGGTGGGGATATGAAAGAGATTTTGATGGCTATTCTTTACTACAGACAGAAGTCACCAAAGGATACAATTCAGTCATTCAGTGAGTTCAGATTAGCACAGTATGCACTTCAAAAATGTCAGCCAGCCAAGTTCTTCAAAGGGTGTACAGTAAACCAGATCTGATCTGATGCAGCTATTTAGCTTGTTGAATTAATGAGGGAGGAATGACCTGTGAGCACTTTACACTTGGTACAAAAAGGGATGAATTTGAGTGGTGGCAGGAACTAGGAGGAAACTTTCCCTCCCAGTTACACGCAGGGTAAGTATATTCCTAATTCTTCTTTCCACAACTGGAGATTCCTGTTGGAAGTGTGATATGTTACTTTCTTCCTTTTGCTGGATACAAATTCATTCCATCTGGAAGGTGCACCAGGATCGTACATTGCATAGCATGGCCATATTTCTGGAAGTCTGCTTTGGGAAAAGAGTTCTCTTCCCTTGGATTGTTGCCACTTGATTTTATTGTCCTGCCAGTTGCCTTTGCAACAAATGTAGCAGAAGTGATGCTACAAAGGGTATTACAATACTCTGCGATACAGAGCAGAATTAAAGTATGCCCTAGGGCAGAAGTTAAACGTGTGACTTTCACAAAAGATTAAATGTCTTTTGAGTTTTCTTGACCTTCTTGCATTCTGATAACAATAGTATTTTGATTTTGAATTTAGAGCCTATGAATGCATTTTTTATCAGCTGCAGTTGATTCGGTGTTTTCATACAGTTGTTCAGTTTTGCTGATAATTTTCACACCAATTTGGGTTAGGCTGTTGTATCAGCAGGGCCTGTACGTGGATTGTTCAAACTTCACAGTTTCATAATGACTGGGTGCAAAAAGGGTTGTGTTCGTATGGCCCTTACATTTTGTTTCTTCAGACTGTGAAAGCATTTTATATGTAAATATCTAATGTGTAAATACAGTTAAAGCACATTACAATGTTGTTTTAAATGATTTTATTTTGAAAAATACGATGTGCAGTGTAATGTTGACTAACGGTAATGCTGACATTGTCAATCCGAACTTGTACTTCACACAATGGTCAGCTCATCATGCAATAAAGTATGTACCTGTTATGAAGCACTCCCACTTCAACTGTGTTATCATTATCTCTTTATGGCATAGCACAAATCCTTGTACATTGAAACACCCTCTATGTTTGCAGTCTTTCTACACACTTGACAGCACACACTAGACGCATAGCTCAAGAACACTGAGGTGAGACCACAGCCTTAGTGAAATTGAATGGTGTTTGCCATTGATTTCAGTGGGCTGAGGGTTTCACCCTGAATATCCCATCTATGAATGTATTGTGTGTATTGTTGTAATCCTTGAACTACGTAATTTGCTTGTAACCGCAATATTTAGTGGAAAAAAAACAAACCCAAAACAACAAGACTATGTTATGTCAATGACACCCAAATGGTTTTAAATCTCAACTTTTGCATTAGTTTTGGTTAGCTGTAGAAATCTTAAACACCAACACTGCTACTGGAGACTTTGAAGTTGTTTTCCCTCCAGTTTGGGAGAGTTTGAAGAAAAAGGTTAAGTGATGTTAATAGTACAGCGAAATACAGAGTGGCAAAGCTAGTTCCGAACATCCATGTAGTTCAGACTATATATTGCAAGCGCTGCTTTCCTCCCCTCTTCCCCACCTCTTATTTTGAGCTTTAGATATCCTTCCCACATTCAGGGCAAAGGATGTCATCCCTTTCTGTGAGGAAGCCGCGACCCACTAAGGAGAGGGAGCACTTCTTGCAGTTAAAGCAATCATTGTGCCACTGCCGTTCTTCAAAGGAGATGTACTTGGTTCCTCCGAGTCCTGTTTGGAAACCAAAAGCATTCTGTTACAAGGAAAGAACAGCACTTCAGCCCTCAAGTGATGCTATTTCAGATTCCCCTCATGGATTGTTATGGCGATCCAACATACAGTAGTGAAAAATGCCATTGTGACACATCTTTTTGTTGCTGTGCTAATTTTGCCACCCTTATTCTGTAACAAGTAATATTTTCATCCTCAAAGGGTTCTGTTAGTGAACTGGACTGTTACTGCTGGTGATAATGGCAGAAATGGACTTTTAAGGGATGGCTCTACAATATGCAACGGAAGAAAAGGAAAGCACCTGCTTCTGAACAGAAGTCTGATAGTTTTGTGCAGAATGTTTTATGGCATCAGAGCTAATTTTGTTTTGTAAAAATGCATTTAGATAATTAAAAAGAAGTCTGACTGGTTGTGTCTTGACTTGGTTCATAGTTTTGAAGGAAGAGTGCCTCAAGAAAAGCAGCAGAGTAGCTAACTGCAGAAAACATTCAAGGGATTGAGGCTAGGGAGGTTATCATAAGGAGTATTGAAAAGTTGTACAAGAAAAAAGACAAAAGGGACAAATGTCTCGTAATTGTAATTATTTCGTGCTTATTAAGATGCATTGGAATGACTGGCTGGAAATTGGAGAAAAGATTTAGCTGAGGATATCTCTTGCCTGATGAGAGAGGATTTTGTTTTGCTACTAAAAGCAAAACAATGTTTGAAAAAAACAACAGGTTATGATAGGACTGCAGTACTCAAAAGAGAAATGCCTCTCTCACACAAACCAAAAACAGTACCTGTGGTGTTATGCACTGACTTCTAGGAGCATATGCAGTCAAGCATATGTTAGTGAGGGACAGATCGAGTACAGAGCGGTAACAAGAGAGAATGGTCCAGATAGAGTTGAGATTCACACTTTTGGACTGTATGGATCATGCTGTTAAATGTGGATTACTTCGCAGAGGAGGATATGTTTTTATGCTAAATGTTTCATAGTAAAGCTCTCAGCAGTTGCTCCTTTGAGTACTTTTGTGCTGGTAAGTGCTATCTAAAAGCCTTGCTGTCCTGAAAAGTCGAGGAAGAAATGTGCTATGCTACCACATGAGGTACAAGCTGGTCAGACGCTTTCTGCTGGTGGAGGCACTGTTGTTGCTGAGGTCAGGGGTCCCTCTAATGTGCACAAGTAGAGTGATGTACAGAACATGCATATCCTGCTACATGCATAGCTCTGTTACTGTGTGTTCACCGTCTTCCATGAAAATAGGGTGAAAAGGAGGAAACTTCAATTAAAGGACCTCTTCCATTTCTTTTTATTAGGCATTATAAGTCTTTAATTTCACATATCTTGAATGTATAGTGTCTTGAGTCTCTCAAGTTATTCAGAATGAATTGTTGAACCATTTTTAATATTA